TGGCCTACCTAGCGCACGCCCGGGTCCGCGGTGCCCGCGGCCACGTTCCTGGATGCCGGCGCGGCATGCCGTGCGTCTCCCTCCTGACCCGAAACAGAGCCAGCGTCTCCTCTCTCGCCTTCGAGCTGCTCCTCTCGCTCCTGTGAGTAAACAGAGACCGCATCGTGCGCTCCGGCCCTGTGCTTCGCGCTCTAAGTTAGGACGGCTTCATTTAGAATAAACATTTCTTCGTGACTTAATACCTCAGTACACGATATCGTCGATTTTCTAAAATAGCCAGTCGCTGGCGTTTAAATCCGGAGACACCGCTGAACCCTTCAAGACTTTGCGGCGGCATGCACTGCCTTGGCCCGGAGTGGCTCGGGTACTCGGGTCTCCTGTCAGGAGCACGCAGAGCAAGGACCCGACGCAGCATTGCTGAAGCAATAAGCAAAAAACTTGTTATGCTTGATCTAAAGATAACAATACTTAATTATATATTGATAAACTGGATGTGAAAGGCTCTGGGGGGCAAGGTCTCTTTGGTCAGTTAGGGAATATTTGAATGAATGATGCCTCTGCATCTCAAATGCATTTCTGAATTGTATTTATAAAAGCTAGTAAAACTTTAAAAGAGGAAGCAAAACTGCTCGATTCGCCCATGTTACTTTATGTACAAACCTAGTTTTCTTTCCATAGCAATTTACTGATACAGGACAGTTTTTAATTTTTTTTTTTTTTTTTTTAAATAAAACCTGTCTCTTGAAGGGGCGTATGTTCTTGGTAAAGCCCTTTGTCTGCCATCCTCTGCGATTCAGGGATTATTTCAGAGAAAAACAGTTCTACTTCTCCATAGTGGAAAACAGAATTAAAACTTATAACAGAGTGTCTTAACACTATGGTTATGACTCTGAGTCAGCTATAAAGGAATTTTTATTTCCTGAGTTGAAGCTGGCTATATTCACATTAAAATTTTCAGGAGGGTGAAGTACCATACCTTAAGCATGCATCTGAAATCTGACAAGCAGAGGCAAAGCAGTTGTCTTGCTGTTTAATTATTAGTTTTCTACTGGCAATTTACAGGTTCCTCCCAGTTGCTGTGTAGGACCATGAAATGGTAGCCCAAATTTTAACCGAACTTAAACTCCTTGATGAACTGCAGTTCTTTAAATACATTCTAAAATAGCTGGCTATTATAATCTAAATACATTGTTTGTCTGCTGCTCAGTTGATTTGTCTCTTTCAATTTATGTCCATCATCATCATCTGGGGTATACCCATAGAATTAATTTTATTTGCAGCCTCTGATGATCTGGGGTTATTTTTATCCATCTTCACTAAATGATCGTAGTCTTAAATTTTCTGCCACAGAACAGTCCATTTCTGGTTGGCAGAATGCATAGAAAAGTCTCTCAAAGCTAAGAATATACCTTGTTTATATAACTGTAAAGAATGTAATTCCTATAAATGGAAAAATTTTCTGAGGCCTGTATCTGAGCATGATTTGGCTTATGATTTGGAGGAATAGTGAACTGCACTGTAGAAGTTTGGTAGATAGTAAATAAGATCTAATTATTTATTAAATTAATAGTTTTACACTAACCTTCTCATGAGGCTGTTTCTGCTAGGTGTGGGTTACTGCGCATTCATCTAGTTGCAAAGAGAAAAGCACTTAAGGGATTATATGACCACTAGAGAACCAGGATTTTTTTTTTTTTTTGAAGTATACGGAGTTCCAGAAAGTATACTAACAGTGTTTAGGCTTTTTAAAATCCAATTAGAAGTCTGAAATACTTAAATATTAAAAGGGGTGGGTCTATCTCAGGTACTTGCATTAAATAGAAAGTCAAAGGAAAAAAGGAAATTACATCACGTTGTCAAATAAGGAACAGCTAGCTGGAGCAGATGACTTGTAGTGCAAAAATGTGCCCCTCCTCCTGTGAATTGCTTCTGAGATTTGTTAAAGATATGTGGTGGCAAGGTGAGCAAAAATAGGTTGTGGATTTAAGGTAGCTGCATTTCTTCCCCTCCCAAAAGTGGTAAGTAGGTTTTACTTCCCACCCCCCCCTTTCCCATTTCTTACAAGAAGTATATAAGCTCCTGGTCAAGAATGTTGCCCTTATAAAAACTGTCCAAAATTTGTGCGGGCATTCAAAAATCTGTACAGCAAATTGCTGTATTCCATACTCGTTAAGTGAAACATTCTAGAGCATGCTTTGGTCTACTGTGCATACTAGAAAGGTTTTCTCTATTATGAACCCAACTTGCCTCAAATATTTTGTTGCACTGGGGCTGTGAGCACGGGGAACAGAGTAACAAGATTCTTTTTGTGATCAGTGATAGACGTTGAGCTAAAATACGTGCAAGTGCTCCTTAGTTTCTAAGCAGAGGATCATTGTTGCTATTACACAAGTATTTAGTAATATATATCAGCACAAAAACTGTATATTTGGAACATTTTATATAACAACTTCGTCACACAATTTTTCCAATATATTTCCATATACATTCCTCACTATGTAGATACCCTACTGCTTATGGATACATTTGACCATTTTTAGCTTACACCTATTCATCCTGTTATTCATCGCTCATTGGGTCAAGTCTGAAGATATATTTGGCCAGGATGGGGAGAATCAATCTTATCTCTGATATTTAGAATAATTCTTATTTGTTAATGTGAGCAGGCATGAATGATTAAAAAGTATCTCCTTTGCAGTTACCTTGCCTTTCAGCAGATAGCATTGATAGCTTCCTAATGCACCGACACACCTTTGAATTGCCTTGGCTTGTATCTGCCCTGTAGAAATTACTAGCTATAGTTTTAGTTTGAACTAACTCAGTTTCTTTTGAATAACACTGAAACTGTAACATCTTCAAAAGCGCTCAAAGTGCTTCAATCTTTCCAAGTGCCATTATCTATGCATGACTTGGGCAGACAAGCAGAGTAACCAGAAACTTATTCTGTGCAAATGAGCGGCAAACAAGCATGAGATCTAGAAAGCTTCATTATGACATAGTGTCCATTTTCCTTAGCAAACACAGTTTGATTTTTATTTATGGTTAAGTTTAGATCCTTCAGTCTTTAAGGAGGCAGGATTGGGCCAACAGTTACAGTGGAAACTGTTGGTGTTTAGATCTTCATGTCTGACCTTTGTAAAAAAATTTTTAAGCCAATTACTGGAAAATAGTCGCCTCATGAAATATGTACTGCTCAGCTTTATTAAGAGCATGTTGTATAAAATACAGTTTGTACTCCTCATGGCTCCCTCTTAAGATACTCTTTCTTCAAACAAATTTATTCATGTTTTAAAATACAAGCACCAAGTCTCTAGACTCCACTAAAAAAGTAGCTAGGTGATTCAGTGAAAGAGCACATGCCTTACCGCTGTCGATACTCCTGGCTTAAGGCATGGAGGACAGTTTCATAACTCAGTCTACTCACAACTCGCTGCTGAGATGTCGAGGCAAGTCACCTTCTGTGAATCCACAAAGAGTTTATGTTACAAACAAGCAAGTTTTATGGCTGCCAAATTTGTCTGTGCTTTGTTTTTAAAAAATAAAGAGTTGATTGAAACAAGCAAAAAAACCACCTATTCCTGTCTAAATAAATATTTCAGTCCATTTCAGAAGTTGAGCTTAGCATTCCGAGGGATTTCAGAAAGGTGATTGTGCAACTATCAGTCTTGAGAGCCGAGATTTAGACAGCATTTAGAAAGCTGACATGGTAATTACTAGCAGTGGTTTTGGCGTGGGATCTGATGGAGGCTGGGCTTCTTAACAAGCCCTACAAGGGTTGTATGTTATCATAGCAAGCACATTACATGTGCTCTCAAACTACAGCAATGCCACCCCCCCTTCCGGTCTCATTTTTTATATCATAATCAATGTCTTGCTCATGGTCTTGTTGGATCTTGTATGCACGCTGAGGTGGAGGACTATCATTTGCTGACTAATCAGTGTTCTGTATCAGTGATTTTTCAACTTATGACTTGCATTTGACTTCAAAAAACACTGAAATGGAAGTACAAACTCCTTCATAGGTAGCCTTAAATTCACTAATTCTTTCTCCTTCATTTCTTTTGCAGATTCATTGCTAATAAGATAGGATCTGTGAGGCATGAAAAATCACTGCTCTGTACAGTGTGAGCTGATGTGATGGATGTTTTATTTGCAACTTGTGTTAACACGATAGAAAGTAATTTTAGAATTGGTGCTATGCTTGTACTGTGCTGCTTAAGTCATTTTGACAAATGGATTTCTCCCCCATAGACCACAGTTCTACGTACACTTACAGAACTGTGGAAGGGAGAATTGCTGTTACAGGACTACTAGAGATTTTGAACTCATTTGCTAATCAGAACTACATTATTGCTTCCTGGGGCTGTATGTTTGTATTTAATTTTACTATGAAAATCTGCGATTCCCATTACTGGGAAGGGTCCAACTTGACCAAGTAATGCAAAAATTGCCAGGGTTAAGCAAGCTTTTAAGGAGATTGTCTGAAAAGGAAGAACACAGCCTTCACTAAAATCAGTAGGGCTGAAGTAAGTAGGTCTAAGACTGATGCTCTGCTGTAGCAGACAGAACACTGGTATGGCCCTTGTTCACTTACATTAAAGCTAATAGCCTTTTGTCTAGGGTTCTTAAATGCCTGACTAAAATACACTGGGTATGTGGTAGTGAACAAAAAATAATCCCACTTCCATTGACACAAGGGTGATCACGGGTAGTCACAATCAAGAAAACCATCACACTCTAAAGAAGAGCATGATTAGATTTTGCACATTATAAACATATATACATTCAGAAGCTGTTTTGCATCTACTGTTTGCTTGGGTGATCAATACTGGACCCAGTTCAAATTTAGAAAAGCATAGCAGAGTTAGCAGAGTTGTTCTTTCTCAAACAGTTGTTTATAAAAGGCTAATAGCAGTGTTAAATTGCAAATTAATCCTGGGGCACCTGGTTTAGAGCACTGCTTAGGAGTCTGCCCACCTCTCATGTTGCAAATAAGTATAAAGGATCTTTCTTCTTAAAGGAAAAGGAAGATTACACCTCTCCATAGAATGCCCATTTTTGAACAGATTTACCATAAAAGCATAAGCTATTACTTGTTCCTGTACCGTATTTTCTTTCAGTACCATATTGTGAAGGTGTTTTCTTGACATGTATACTGCACTAATGTATCTGGCCCTCAATTGTTGGTTGACTTTTCTTTAGGTGGAATTTTTTCTTTTGGCGGGGGGGGAACGGGAAGAGAAAGGAAGTTCATGTTAAGAAACTGGTCATTCTCAATTCTCAAGAGAGATATAAATTAAACTATTTTGGGTGGGCTGGTCTTCAGTTTGTGGTTTTGGGCTTTTTTAGGTCATTTTTTGTTTTAAACCGTCATATAACACCATATTGTACTTGCCAAATTTAGGCTATTTGTGTAGATAAAGCACAGACCCAGAGAACATCTTTCCTTACAGCCTTAGACTTAATTTCTCCTGCCTTCAGAATGTTCCTGTGAGTCAACTTGTCCCTTAGCCTATGATTACTTACTCAATATAAAGCAATTGCCAACACATTTTTTCTGTTGTAAATGGGCCAGATAAAGCATTGATCACACATTCAAAATAAATTTGAATACAGCAGGACAGTTTAAGCTGAGGTTATTTCAAGTCACTAGATTTCCAATTTGTTTGAAATCGCTAGAAGACTTGAGGCTGTTTTAAAGTATCTTAATGCTTAAGTTGGTTAATATTAGCAACTGCTTTATATAAAAGAAGTTTTGGAATTCCAAGTTAGGTCATCAGTAATTCTGTTTATTGGAGCAAAGGCCATTTGTTAGGCTATTGAAGGTACTAAGAAACAGACTAGGGTGTTCTATGTTGGCTACAATGGAAACCATAAACTCATTAGCAAAACAATACAACTGTAGATGGCTACTAGAAAGTTAAAACGATTGTTCTGGAAAGCTTATTTTGCCTGAGTAACTGGCAGTTTATGTATAAGAACTGAAGTTGTTGATGCACAGTTGCTGTATATCAATAGCTTTCCTGAACGTATTTTAATTCTGTAAGATAGCTTACCTATTTCGTACTTTAGTTTCACAGCCAGACACAAAATAACAAGTTCCGTAAAGTTTTCCTATTGGCAAGTATTAGGATGGGGGTCTTCCTACAGAGCTATTTAATTGCTTGAAATACTGAAATTTCAGATGAGCTATGAACTATTCAAGTTTGCATTTCTGATATTTATGTCCTTCTCTCTTTTGAAGGGAATGAAAACTGCAGGAAACTTGACAAGGACTGTGAATTTCTAGGATCTTGAGACATCACCAGAGAACAGTGCACAATGTCAACTGCAGGAGTTGCTGCCCAGGAGATGAGAGTCCCATTAAAAACCGGATTTCTTCACACTGGTCCAGGCATGGGGAGTCTGAAAACCTGCTGGGGTAGCCACAGTGGATTTGAAAAGTGAGTGAGGCTAAAATGTGATCTATTTCATCTTCAAGTACATGAGATGAGCGGTAAGAATACTTGTGCCAGTCCTGACCTATGGTTTATTTACAGCAAAGGCTTTTTTTTTTTTTAGTAGTTTCTTTAATGTGGACCCTATAGCAGTGGCATATAATCTGAATACATCAACAGAGCAACATTTAACATCCATTGGTAAGTATAAAGACCAACACATATGTATTTAGGTAGTGTAATGGATTTGTCTTGGAAAAAAAAATCCTGAAGTCTTGACTAAGACACTAAATGCTTTCTCATTCTGGATATCAGGCTGCCCTCTGGTGATGGAACGCAAACATTTCAAAAAACTACTACTATTCAAGCCCAACCAAGAAATTATTTTAAATAACATGATTGAGCTAAAACAAACAAAGAAAACCCCTTTTCCTTGTACTCAGAGGCATCTGAGTTTCCATTACAGTTCTGACAGAAAAGTCAATTAGTAAAATAGCACTTGTTCCTTTGTAGTTCTCTGCTGGGACTTTGGAGGCTGTACCTCTGTTCTATTGCTTCTGCTTAGGGTCTCTTGAACCACCTGATTTAACTGGAGCACTGGCCTAAACCAGTAAGATAATCAGCTGCTCTCTTAACTAAACGCATTAAGTCCACAACCAGGAAAGATCTGTAATAGCTAAGTTTTGCTACTGGAGTCCTTAAGCAGACATTACTTATTGTTGCATTAGAAGGAATTAAATAGTTAAATATGGAGCAGCAAAGTAATATGCCAGAGTGTTACACAGAAAAGTGTTTCTAATACTCTCTCATCCTTTTAGGGCACTCTTCCAACCATGCTTCCGTGAAGGACCACAGCTTTGCTGAAAGTTGCATCCAAGTCCCATCTCAGAAATCCAGTCCACCTCCTGTAAGTCCCAAAAATGAACAGCCTATTTCAAGACATGAAGACCATCTTGTTCCTGGCTTTAGTAAACTGTCCTTAACCATGGGTTGTGTTTCTGAAGAAACACCTGCTGCCATGCCAATAAAAAATGGGCCAAATCAATTTTTGTCTGCGTGTTCTAATGACCGTAGCTCCAGGCCGCTACCCCCGCTGCCTATTTCTGAAGGCCCTGCTCCAGATGAGGTTGACAAAGAGGTGGAATTCCTGACTAGCTCAGATACTGACTTCTTGTTAGAAGATTATGAACTTCCTCCTTTTAAATCCAGTGCTCCAAGCCGGCGGAGCTTTAGAGGCTGTGGCCAAATCAACTATGCGTATTTTGATACTCCAACGGGACCAAACCCAGAAGATGCCAACCCTACACAAAGCCTAAATGGATACATATCCAGTATTTATCCTCCTCCACAGCAGCTGCATCGACGTTTGCGAAGGTCCCATTCCGGGCCAGCTGGGTCTCTTAATAAACCAGTAGTAAGACTATCTGGACATTTAAACAGGTCTTCTCCAAACTCTGATGAAGATAAACCAGAGATTCCACCAAGGGTTCCCATACCTCCAAGGGCTCTCAAACCAGATTACAGAAGGTGGTCAGCAGAAGTTGCTTCTAGTGCGTACAGTGATGAAGACAGGCCTCCAAAAGTGCCCCCAAGAGAACCTTTGTCACGCAGCAATTCCCGTACACCAAGTCCCAAAAGCCTGCCATCATACCTCAATGGGGTTATGCCCCCCACCCAGAGTTTTGCACCTGATCCTAAGTATGTCAGCAGCAAAGCTCTACAAAGACAAAATAGTGAAGGATCTTCCAACAGGGTCCCTTGCATTCTTCCGATTATTGAAAACGGTAAGAAGGCCAGTTCAACGCACTACTATCTGCTGCCTGAAAGGCCTCCATATTTGGACAAGTATGAGAAATTCTTCAGAGAAGCAGAAGAAAGTAGCTCTAACACAGAGGTTCAGTCCTGGTCTGGTGACTGCACAGCTACTTCAGCCCCAACAAAACTGGACTCAAAACCCAGAATGGACATAGCTGGTCATATGAAACGAAAACACCTGTCTTACGTGGTTTCCCCTTAGTCTCTGGGAGCAGAGTCTCAGCTCAGTTGTTCAGGATGGAGCTGAACTTTATCATGTTACAAAGTTCTTAAGGTTCTCAGATAATGAAGCAGGACCAGTTTGTCCTCTGAGAACTGGAAACTGGATGGTAGAGTCCTCTTATGCTGCGTATCTCTGATTATGTTTCTTAAGACTGTTTTTTTTGTCTTGGTACGTATAGCTGAAAACCTAAAAGATTCCACAGAAACATACGGAGGGATAGTAGTCACAGTTGGCCAGTTATATGCTACCTAGATGAACATATTTGGTAGTCATGTTGTAAAAAAACCCCTAGCTTTCCTTACAAGTCACTTATAAAGCTGACAACAGAGCAGGTAATGCAGTACAGTTTTTGTATCAGGCATTTCCAAAATTCCTTTCATAGAGTAACTCTGCCAAGAACAGAAGCTTAGCCTCTCTGACTAGGATATGCCAACCTGGTAAGAAGGTAACTGCAAGATCTGATATCCACTTCAAGACTTGGCAAGCATATTGGAAGCACATTTTGAATGATGAATCTATTTTACAACTTAATTTGACACTAATAGACTTTTAAAGTGAGCTGGGTTTTGTGGATTCTTTCAGCTGCTAGACACACTTGGCTCAATTTTGCAGTTTTTCCTAGGAGAGACTTGGACCAGCTATTGCTAAGCCACTGCTGCTGCTCTTTTCCTGATGGATCCTAGAAACACATCAAAGTGTCCTGAAAGTGGCAGAGGATATGAGCAGCTATATGGTTGCTATTAAGTAGGCAGTAACTACTACATGTTCACCTAGAGTCTGAAATTCTGACTGTATTAAATACAGAAACACAGCACAAGCTGGTCTTGTGTCTTTGTTTCTATTCAGTATTTTAGGGGGGGAGGAGGGTATGAGGACAAACCATTTATGAACAGTGTAAGTCCCATCTCGCTGCTTCAGATGCTGCTTCTTGCTGTTTAATTTTTCCTCATTGTGCCTCAGCGATCCACTGAAGTTCACTGAGGTGCCACATTTGTGCATTAGCAGTTTCTCATGCTCGTTTTGATTACATTTATCCTCTTACAGATAAGCACAAGAGAAAGGGTGCTCGTTAATGGAGGTACAGAAGATGAATGTGTTCCTCCTAACAGAAATAAACAAGCTGTTTACAGTTTAAACTGCTGAATGAGATGTTTGAGCTATTTTAAAGCTTACTTTTTATTTGTTTTAGTACAAACTAAATGAAGGTGAAATACATGCTATAGAAATGCACTGATATTTCTGCATCATGTACAGTATTGAATAAAAAAGAATTCACTTTGTATTTTGAATATTGTCATGTCTTGAGTTTAATAAAGTTATAAAATATTTATGATACATTTTGGTTTTTGCTTTATTGAATAGTATACAGCTGTGCATTTGAGTTCTGCATTTACTGCAAAGTTCAAAGTGAATAATGTTAAATGTGCAACAAATGTTGAATTCAGCTTGCATTTAATTAAGATTTCTGCAGGCATGATCAATAACTCACATTGCACACCATTAATTTTAACTCCTCATTACTGCCTGGTAGCCTGGTGTCTACAGTTTTGTGCTGGCCATAAAACATCCCAGAAGCTTTAAGTAATTTGGCCTATGGAAATAACAAAGGTTATTAATAACAAGAGTCACCCATAGCATGTTAGGCACCATTGCACAGAAAAAAAGAGGGCAGTAGTGTTCCCATCTTCAATTTCTCACCTGTTAAAAAAGAACTAAATTGTACATTAAGTGTGACTGAAGAGGAGCTACTCATATTCTGAGGATGAGAAAAGCTTGAGCACAGCATGGTGATTTTTTTTCTTCTTAAGAGGAGAAAGCAATGTGAATACTCACCTAGGGCAAGCATATTGAACTGTAGTATGTGAGCCATGGATAAGGTTACTGAAGATCCAAACCATCACACAACTTTGGTCTTTTAGCTGTGTATGCGGGTAAATACTTGCCTTGATCTGGCAGTCTGAAGTCTTCACCTTTTCTGTCAATGAGCTTATTTCAGAATAAAGCAGGTTACCATCCTTGGAATTACACTTGATGGAAAAAATTTCAGATGTAGTTTTTAGTAATGCCTAATTGGCTTCCATACCTGGGGAGATCACTAAGCTTCATTTATGTGAGCACTCAAAAACCTACTGCTGTGCTATAAGACTGCTAAGAACCCATGCAGATTGGCCTGCAAAACATAACCAAGTTATCCAATCCTGTGCAAGGCTGTTGACTATAATATTCATCCTGTTGAAAGCTCTGCTTCCCCTCCACCCCTTAGATTTTTCTAAGGCAGAAAAAGTCAAACTGGTACTTGCAACCTTCCCCTTAAGTCTGAACAGCTTTAGCCCTAGGACCCCAAAATAACACACCTCAGTTACACAATCATTGCTGCAGCAAATGGATCAAAGCTGCTGAGCTGCAGCTCATTCCTTGTCAATTGTGAGACTTGGCACAGACTCGGTAGTTGTCATTTCAGTAGACCTCTGTCTAAAATGAAGCAACTGCCCTGCAAATCTCTTCTAGCTTTTGCCTCTCAGTCCCACTCCATTCCTAATACTTGGAATCCCCCTTTTTAGCCTAGGTTCCCATGCTTGAATAGACTGCTGTTCTCCCCTTACCTGGACGCACTTGAATTCCCCAAAGACCTCAGGTCTGCCCTTAATAGCACATACTCTCAAATTAATAGCAAATACACTCTTGGATGGGAAAAAGAAGAAAACTTCCCCATCCAGATACTCCATAGTAAGCATCTTCCCTGCTTTCAGTGGGATGGCTTTGGCTTAAAGTATTTGGGGAAAAGCCACACAGCTATTGTGCACACTGAGAAATGAACCCTTCTTGGCAGGGAGGCCAGTCCAGGCATTCTGTATTACTGGGTGCATAAAGCATTGCATTTGGATAACAGAAAACTGCAAGCCTGAGCCATCGCACTTGCTGTCAGGTCTCATTCGCTGCTCTCTTTGTGAATACAGCGATGGGATAAGCTTTCTGTCCTAACTCATAGCACTTCACGCTGGTCTGATGCTAGTGCTTAGTATTTGCACATGGCAAGCCAAAGAAACTTCTGAAGTGACCAACAGCTGAACACATCTTTGGTGCTGTATTTGTTACAATTTCCCCAGCACTTATTGTCACTTCTGTTAGCAGTGAAAGTTCCCTAGTCACTGGGCCAAAACCATTTCTGCTAGTGGAACAGCAAGAAATTTTTTACTTCCTCAGAATAAGATCTACTGAGTACAAACTATTTTCATATTTTTAGCACTGAAAAGCTTAAAAACCTTATAAAACTTGTGCTTTTGAATGGTCTTATATAACCTTTTCTGAAATTCAAAATAAGTGTAAGACACTTAACCTAACCTCCATTAGTTTTTCTCCTAGAAAATAATGAGAATTGCACACTCCTTTCCTGAAAATACTGGTATTGTCTACTAAGTCCCAAGTATAAAAAAAAAAATATATATATATTACTCTGTAGTGATACCATCTTCCCCACTGTGTGCCAGCTGAATAACAGCACAGTGCTAAGTCTCATTCCAGAAGTTAAATGATGAACTTAAGTTTAGTACAACTAAGTAAAACAGACTGAACCTGAATTGAAAATAGTGACTGGAACTGCTTGGCTACGAGCAAGACATTCAAGCAGGTTACAAGAGCTCATGTGCCTTTTCAGTATAAGGACAGTAATTTATAGGTGAGTCTCACAGTATTTAAACAACTTGGCCATTTTCCCTTTAAAAATTCAACGTAATAAGGTTTCACTGAGGGCTTGGTCCAGGGGTCAGTGGTTCTCTCTGGGTGACGATGAGGGGGTCACTGACAAAAGCAGGTGGAAGCCTCCGTTGTATATTCTTAGACACCAGATTCCTGTGCTTTGGGGGACAAAATTTACGTGATCCAAAAGTTGTATTCCATTTTCCAACTGAGTAATTAAGGCTGTAGAGCTGTGGGGGAAGCTTTGCAAGTTCTGGCCAGAAGACGTTTCTCTGCTCATCCCCTGACACATGATAAGACTTGTCAGGACACAACATGCTTTTGCAACAGCCTGATCACATGTTTGAATGTTTAATGCTTGGGCTCACCTGGGCAAGGCTTGACAGCTTGCCTCGGAGGAAGAAGCCCCTTGCCAGATAGATTTGACTGGAATAATCACACTTCAAAGCAGTTATGACTTGATACACTGAAGAGTCAAGGAATTTGTGTTAAAGCAGGGAAGAGAGACGTGCATCTAAGGTCAGGCAATGCTTTCCACAGCCTCCTGATTCAAGAGGTAGGCTACGTGTGCTGCTCACCCCCACCCCAGCAGTCTCTTTCTTCCTTCAGCAGCGCTGTTGTGACCACCCAGCCATGTTAGTGAGTACCTATGGGTCCTGGGAGGCAGCCATGCTGGGGCAAAGGGAGTTGTACCACAACAAACTACAAAGGGTTGGATCCAGAGCAGCACAACGGCAAACACGTGATCATAGAGCAGACCTCAATGAGATGCGACTGGCAGCAAAGTTGGTGAGAAGGGGGAGGTGACCCCAGGCTCGAAACTGTCGACACCACAAGCAAAAGCACACCAGTGGCAGCAAGAAGCCTCAGTCATATCTACCCTGTGTAAGGGTCAGTGCTGCCTGGTGCTGCTTGGCTGCTCTGATGTTGATGGAACACCCCCCTGCTTGGTGAGTTTCAGACTAGCAAATCAACCCAGAGGAGCTGAGTCTAGCTGGTAACTGAAGGGTAGGCTGTTTGCCTTGATATAGCTTTTCCTGAAGGGAAGAGGCTGTGTTAGTGCCTGGTGACTTGAAAAAAGCCATTAGCTTAACTTCTACACCACATTAACTTGCTCTTAACCAGGTAGTGTCAAGAAAGAGCACACAGCTGTGGTGGGAGGTCATTTAAAAACCTCTCAGTCACTGGTTTCTCTTGTATCACAAGAGAACTCCAAACAGAAAATAAACTCGACTTGGAAGCATGCTGATTCACAACATAATTCAATTCTGCAGTCATTTAAAATTACTGATCATCACTGTTGCTGTCGCTGTTAGTTTTCCATTTGCTTTCAGCCTACAATAGGCACAATTGCTACCGTACTGAAACTGCAGAAGAGCTCTCACCGAGATTGCATTTCCTCCTGCTGCAGCCTTGGTTTTGTTTTTAAACAGTCTGAGTGACGTGGTATATTTGACACGATAAAGGAAAGCATCCATCTAGTCCAGGACAGAGACACCAATTTTGCAAGGGCACTTATTACAGTAGGGAGTAGCTGCTGATGGTGTTCAAACCGAGTCTTGTCAGGAATTCAGGGTTAAGACGATGACCACATCAGTCATGGTAGAATTCCCACCCTTCGAACTCAGGATTAGAAACTGCGGCCCTTATAAACACTTAATACCATTACAAGCTGTATGTTAAATACATACTCTAGATTACACTCAGGAAGGAAATTTGAGATGGAGGTAAGGAGATGCATCATTTTACCTGCTTGTAGGGTCTCTGCAGTTAGGTAACGTGTGTGTGTGTATCTCAAGTGTTCCCGAGGTAAACTTTTTTATTTTCTTAAAGCAGCCTAATCTTGACGGCTTGCTTTCCAAAGTGTGTTATATTCATTTAAAGCTGAAAACATATAGCAAGTTTTCTGTTTCTCAGCTCCTTGGCACTGAAAATCTAGCACACAAAGTTTAATTATACTTATTAATATTTGTTAAATAGTACTGCAGAGATTTCTGGCTGCTGAGCTCGTGATTAGCATTTGTAAGCTGAAAGAGGTGTTACCCCCACCCATCCTGCATTGTAATTCAGGCCTTGCATAATCCCAGCCCAAATGCCTATTTGCATCCACACAGCTCATTATTTTTTCTGAATCATATATGGAAGCCACACCCGTGATTGCTCATAGACTGTTGCTATATTATTTATATATTGGTGTGCACCTTGATCCCAGTTGCGGTTAATTTTGGAAAAGGTGTTAGGTGTTCCAACTTTTAAGTGGCATGCCACTGAAACATGGGAACCATTACTGCTATTCATTTCCTTACAAAGTGACAGAGAGGAAGAGATGCTTCTGTGTTTAAAACCTGCAGCTTCTTGCTGAAGATTAAAACTGTCACCCACAAATCGTTAGCATGTGAAAGCCACAAAAGAAGAGTACAAATATTCTGCCATGAAACACCAGAGA